ATCTGTTACCATGTTATTTAATGAGGCCAGGGCTTGGTGAACAATTTTAGCCAGGTTATTGTGTCTCATCAGATATACTTTACCTGCCAAAGCTTGACATCCTGACGAAATATGTTCGATTGACTCTATTGCATTTTTACATAAGCGACATCGGTCACTTACATTTTCTCCACATATATATTTTTTTGTAAGCATTGGTGGATACTATCTGGTTTTGTAATGCCAAATTAAACCCTTCAGTTTCGGGATCCTTATAGGTATCCTTTCTAAAGCCATTTATTAGAGACCTCCCAGTTAATTCCCGATTGAGATAAAGCATTGTAAAAACGATCATGTAGTGCTTTACTCTTCAAACTTTTGACTAGATTTTCTTCGGTAGCGACTTCTTTATGTTCCTTTGAAACTAAGTTTAAAGCTGTGTAGGCATTATCCAGGAATTTTATGGCTGACCATACAGGAGAGTTTCTTACTTGGAAAGTGCATCTTAAATTATTTTCTTGCTCTCTACAACTACTTAATAAGCAGAAAAATCCCCTTCCTCCTTTTATCTGTAGCAAATACATCCTCTCAATCGAAGATTTGGGATGTCGTTTCCTGGCTGAGATAAAAAGAACTCTCACCAAACGATTCATTTCCTCCAGCTCCGTATTACAAAAATTTTAGAACGCTAAACGTTTAAGTCAACACAAGAATAGTCCATGTAGCTTTAATTAAATTGCTAGATGATAGGTACGTTTTGAGTAGTATTTTTATTCTCTTCTTGAATTCTTCTTTATAATTCTCTTTATTACTTTTCTTGAATTTGAAAGTTGACTGAAACCTAAATATTTATAAGAATCAGAATTGTTTAATTCTTTTATTGTTCCATTATTAATCAGTTCCGTGTCTTGTTTATTCATTATCTCACTCCTTTTAACATGAATTATAGCACATTTATCTATCCCCAACGTCATGGCTATATCATTACTAAATGATTTAACTATTTTGATCATGTTCTCAAGTTCTTCTTCACTCTTAGAATACAGTTTTAAATCGACCTTATATAGATCATGAGATAATCTGGTTCCATTTTTATCTAGTCTGTAACCCATACCTGAATCATTTAATAATTCACTTAGTGGGTTTAATGCAAGACAAAACAGTAATGGACCTAAAGAGTCTCCTTGAAATATTCCTCTATTTATAGATATACTAATACTGGAATGGCTAAATTTAGGCAGGTGTAATTTCACCTTCCAAGTCTTCATTAGACGTTCTGATAGCTTCACTATTTTAATGTCTATTTTGTACATGTTTAGTACCTCTATTAACTACTTGTGAGGAACTGAATCGTACGCCTTTAGGTAATCGATCCAGGCAATAGAAGCATTTCGCTTTTTCTTCGATACCTGGGAAGCTATAAACAAATCTAATACCAGCAGTTCCTTACATCCCTTGGCATCCTTCTTACATCCTAATTGCTCTTTTGTCATGATGTTATACTTGTTGACATGTTCCGATATTTTACAACTGATCATAGACATAAGCAATTTATAAACCCTATTCAGGCATGTGATAGGTCTAAAATCTTTAGGTTCAAGAAGATCCTTAGTAGATTTAGGGATTAAATATGTTATTTCTTTACAGAAGTCATCAGGTGGAATAATGGCATTGGCTAATAGTTTTCTATAATAAGTGGGCAAAATTGAATGCGTACTAGTAAAGTACTTTAACCAATAATTCTGAATTTTGTCTGGACCAGGTGATTTCCAATTTTTCATTCTTTTAACTGCTTGATTGACATCAACTTCACTTAACATTATTCCATCCATCGGATTAATCAAGCTAGTATTTTTCCGAGCCTTGTCCATCCAAGATTCATTAAAATTGTTTCGATTCGGAGTTTCCCATATCTTAGACCAAAAATCTTCTGTTTCTTTTTCATTGATATTTAACTCACCAAGTTTGGGTTGATTAATTAATGAGTTATACAAGGTCTTCTTCTTCTTCTTATTATGTATATATATATATATATATATATATAAAAGGTATATATGTATATATAAAACTTTTTTTTCTACTCGTAATCTATCACTTGGGGACAAATGGGTAGGGTAATAGGAGGACTGTAGAGGGAGATAGGTGCAGGAATCTCGCCCACTCCTTGCGGAATGATCAAGCAATAGTGCCCTACCCACTCCTTGCGACTTCCCAGTCCTCCCTATCCCTATCAACGCCTACTATCACCTTCTCGTGGTGCCCCCCGGGGAGTCCGATGGGACTCACAAACGACAGAGGCGGGGATCCACACTTCTGCCCTCTACCTTAAGGGATAGTTGTGTGGATCCTACTACGGCACCTAAGCTAGGTGGAGGGCGCTTGAACCATGGCTGAGTGGCAGGGGGTGCTTGAAAAAATACACTGTCAATTCAACCCACTTGGGACACCTGGCGCACCCCATTGTATTTAGCCTTCTGCAGGGAGAGGGGGTAGTACCTGTAGCGAACCTTTAGTCACCCCCATACTCATGGGAACCAAAATGTGCGAACCACCAAACCCAACAAAACGGACTGACAAAGACTGGTAAAGACATGGCTATGGACATGGAACTAATCACGGAAATGGAATTGTTAGAGAAGGAAGTGGTTGGGAGATAATCCGAGGGACCATCAATGGACCCTCGTGAGGAAAATTCAAGAAGTTCCACTGAGACCTATCTCAGCTGAGGTTTCTAAGCTCTCTGTTAACAGAGGATGTTAAGGGTACGGTAACCAAAACCCAAGTTCTCTGGTGCGCAGATAAGGAAGTACAAAAGGATGAAGAGGCTTGAGGCTATGTCTGGGACTGAGCTACCGGTGGCAGCAGCTCCGGCTGTACTGGCACCGATTAGTGAGGAGCCTGGGCCGGTCACGAAGCGAAACAAGATCCTCGCCAGGGAACTCGACGCCTGTGGCGAAGAGGGCCAGAAGCGGGGAAGCTGGTGCAATTTCTTATGCTCTGGCGACTGGGGGCAGTAGGGTGGCTATTATCCCTTGTGGTTATCCATCGGTTCAGCTTTCCAGGGAACAAGGCGAGGAGGTTAAAGCCCAGGTGATCAAATTTGTTGATCTTCTAGAGTTCAGCGGTGTTATCCCTGAGTTTAGTGGCTTCAGCCATCTGTGGGGATGTATTATAGACTGCGATGACCAAGCTACTAAAGATTGGATCTACAGTGTATTGGAGGGCTTCACTATCAGTGGGGGGGGGGGGTTAAACTCCGTGCTGGTAATGTTGAGGAACTCAAGAAAGCTGTCAGGGTGGGTGCATACTTCTCTGGGGAGCAAATCGGGGAGGAACTATTAATTAGGAGACTCCACATTCAAAATGGTAGGATCCCAGATATCGATAGTTGGCAGATATTGGGTACTAAGGCGGAGACTAATGGAATCTACGGGATCTTTAGGATCCCCAAAACTAGTATCAAGCACCTTGAGGGCAAAAACATGATGGTGACATATGGTGTCGCTAATGTTGCACTTAAGGTGTTTGAGAAGAGGAAGCCGCCCAAACCTAGTGTGCAGACCGCAAAGGTGGGCACTGGTAGAGATGGGCAAAATTGTACTGTGAGTAAAAAGTACAATTACAGAATAATTTACTCAAATACTCGCCCGGTTCCAGTATCGAGTACTTCAATCACTACTCGACCTCATGATTGACGAGTGCAAAAAGTAATCAGCTGTCCTCGTGAGTACTTTCTATTTTCAAATCTACTCAGCAATATTTTACTCTGAGTACTTTTCAAAGTAATCGAGTATTTCATTATAAAAATTACAGGAGTAGAATATTTAATATTTCTTCCATGTTTAAGTCCATTGTTATCTTATGGGGGTATAGTTTTTTTAAATAGTATCGATATTAATGTAAATCGATAAAATAAAGAATTATTAAAATATTTTGGATTTAATCAACTTTGGGGACCATTTTTTTTTTCTACACCACTTGACTTTTATGATAATGCAGTCCGATTTGAGATAGTGCCCTCCGGCCCGACTTTTTGTAATTTTACGGCTTATATCGACATCAGGGACAACTATTAGGTATTGGGGGACGGAATTTGAGATTGGGCCCCCCGGGCCCCGACTTTTTTTAACTTTTAGGGTTAAATCGATATTAGGGTCGATTTTTATGTTTTTAGGGGCGTCATTTATGAAAATGATATCGAATTTGGGATTGGGCCACCCGGGCACCGACTTTTTTTAACTTTTTGAATTAAATCGATATCAGGGTCGACTATTATGTTTTGGGGGGCGCTTTTTATGAAAATGATATCGAATTTGAGATTGGGCCCCCCAGGCCTCGACTTTTTTTAACTTTTTGAATTAAATCTATATCAGGGTCGACTATTATGTTTTGGGGGGGCACTTTTTATGAAAATGTTATCGAATTTGAGTAATAAAATAAGTATATACATAGTTTTGGAGCTATATACAATATTACAATATTGGTGCAAAAAACAAAATTGGATAGAAACGCTAATTAAGTTCTATAGACAAACCATTTTAGTAATAAAATATAAAAATAAAATAAAAAATTACTGGAGTAAATAAATGATTTACATATGTTCCCTAAGAAGTTTAAGTGAAAACACATGAAGATATTGTGAAAAACTAGACAAGTATTGTGATCTACCTATGAAGCGATAGGTTTTTTTTTTTTTTTTTTTTCCCCCCGACATAATTTTGCACCGTGGCCTCAAGTAGGCCTATTGTACATCGTCCAAAACTCAGTTAAAGCAGACCAGATGCCTTCACGAACCTATTGATCCTGACGGGATCAATGAGTTCGCAGTGCTTGGGGTCAGTGATAAGATCACATCCAAGTGAAAGTATCGCAGTCTAGCCAGATTATCACATTTGCAAATAATGTTATAGGCTGTTTCATCCTCCAGGCCACATAGCCTGCAGGTGGAGGTTTCACTTACACACAGATTAAAAAGGTGTTTATTTAATTGACAGTGACCAGTATACAGTCCTGTCACCCGCCTAATGGTGTTCCTGTCCATAAGAAGAAATGAATTTCTTCTTTTATGGCAGGGCCCTACAAGGAATAATTTCGAATGAATTCGCTTCCTAGTCTGTGTCCAATGTAGCATGAATTTATTGCCCACAATTGTCTTAATATATCTTTTGGCAAAACCAAGGCTTATCCCTCAAATAGGCTCTGCTGCAATCGGTATCTGTGCAGAGCCTTTCCTAGCAAGGTAATCAGCCTTCTCATTTCCTGGAACCCCCAAGTGCCCAAATACTCATTCCACTCTAGCCTTGTTTGTACTACAAAGAAGATTAAGATTGCGTTTGCATTCATCTACCAACTTTGAGCGACTTGCATAACTATTCAGGGCCCCAATTGCCGCCTGACTATCAGTATATATTGTTATCAATCTATTCACAAAATGGTTTGTCTATAGAACTTAATTAGCGTTTCTATACAATTTTGTTTTTTGCACCAATATTGTAATATTGTATATAGCTCCAAAACTATGTATATACTTATTTTATTACTTAGATTTGAGGTATTATTTATTATAATAGGTCATCTGGCCAGATTAATTGTAAATTGGTATGAACAATATTGTTATTCTTAAGGGACCTAGTTCGAGAATAAAGATGATTTTCTATTCTATTCTAAATGCAAACAAAATGTTAAGGGCAAGAATTGTTTTTTATTGTTGGACTAGTAGAAAAAGATAATAAAATTACGTATTATGAAAACTTATAACTATGTGATAGATTTTAACTCGGTCTCATAAAAACCCTCTTGTTACGAACACACAAAGAAGATATAGCCGGACTGATTTAAACTTAAAGGAGGATGGTGAAGGAAGGCAGAAGATAGGCAGGAATGGCTCTCAAATTTAAGTGAGGCCAAAGTCCAACTAGGGCTGCAGCGCCATTACGTAAGTAAGTAATTAAAAGAATAATAGATACTTATCTTAAATATAGTTATTTTTAACTTACAACTATTTCTACATCTGGTCCCATTATTTCTGACCACTTTTTCTTGATAGCTGCTTCAACTGCTGGTTTTAAAGGTCCTTCATACTCAGAATCTATTAAAATATCAACATCATCTACTTCAACATCTGGATTACTAGCTTCGTTTAAGATTACAGAATCAATAGTTGTTATAGATTCACCTTCAACTTCAATTTCAGTAGACTCACCATCCTATAAAATACAAAACAATGATTTGATGATAAAATTTGATTTAATAAAAACTTGAGAATTTTTCCATGAAAAGGAATTCTTGAATGATGAAAAGAAATCATCATTGTAACGTCATTTTGTAACAAAAAACAATAGAGTTTGTACTCTTTTAATAAATATACACCTAACAGTAACCAGGGAGTGGGGCAGCGCAGTGAGCAAGGCACAGGGTGGCTACACTCAATATCCGGGTTCAAGTGTGGCTGCAACAGGTAGTTATTTATTCTGCTACATCAGCTGTGGGTCGACCCTGGTTTCAGGAAACACTCCTGGGGCAAACCAGCCTCTATAATGGGTAGGCATTTTTAATAAAACAATTAATTAAAAGAGAAAACCTTCATAGGAGAATTTTAACTGAAAATTATTTGTTTACAGAAGAATTAATTAATTAGTGATTATAGATATATGATAAAATAATAAATTATCAAGTTATAGGTTCCATCCAACACCTAGAAAAGGGAGAAGCAGCAGATATAACAGTAATAAAATATTTCATTTAGAATATTTGTTTCTCCAAAATTAGGAAACAAAATCATTCAGCTTATTCATGAGCATTATGGTCACATTGGTCCAGCACAGATGATCGCCACAATCAGGCCGTATTATTACTTCGAGAGTCTGGACAAAGCTGTTTATAACTTTTGTAAAAGTTGCCAGATTTGTGTTAGGAACAAGGTCTGTCGTAGTCGAGATATCGGCCTTCTCTCACAGTTGGGTCCTGCCACTGAGCCGTTCCAAATAATATCACTTGACAGTGTTGGTGGGTTCTTAGAGAATCGATCACTAAAGAATATATGCACATTTTGGAAAGCCATTTCACCAGATATGCCTGGATCTTGACTAGTAAGAATCAGAAAACTCAAGACTTTATAAATTTAATTTAATTCAATCGCTAAAAAGCATAATATTTTTATCATATTAGTCGACTAATATGCTGGCATAAATTCAAGTTATTTTCAAAACTACTTGGTGAAAAATAATACACAAATTGTATTTATCTGCATCGACCAGCCAGAATCTAATGGGCTTAATGGAAGATTAAACCAAACGCTTGTGAATCGTTTAAGATGTAAAATAAACAGCAAAACAAATAAAGTCTGGCCGGTTCTCACAAATGAATGTGTCAATGAGTATAATGATACAATTCATAGTTCCACACGACATTTGCACCATCTTACTACTTACTGTTCCTCTTAACGAAGGAAATCCGTCTTCCCTTGAAGAAGATCGTAAAATAGCTCTTCAGAATTCAATAACAAACTTTCAAATAAATAAGAAGTGTGTAGATAGGAATTGATGCAATTATAATTTTAATGCTGGAGATGTGGGTGGGAGATCAAAAATGGTAACAAAATTAATTGCAACAAACTCGACCATCAAATTGGACCATTTTCAATAGACCACCAGATTTCACCGACATTTTATGAAGTAGCAAGTGGAAAGAGAAAGAAGATCTCCAACTAATTTCATTCCAGTAAACTTCTTCCCTATTCTTTGTATGAATCATCTTCAGGGGGGGGGGGGAGGGTAAGATGTAATTTTGCTACAGTGTACTACAACACTGTTGCAACCTTCAGTATATCATCATTTGTGTTATCTAATGACATATGATTGAAATAGTCATTATTAATTTGTACTAGTGAAAATATGTGTAATTTATTCCTTTATACAAAAGAATAAAATCTCATTACAATCTTACATATAAACATATATAAATAAAAAAACTGTACCACTAAAACCAAGATCTTGACTTGTGTTCAGTACAGTAGTGTCCAATAACCCGATAGTCAATTATTTGGACTGGATTTATGTTCACTTTATCTACTTCATTTTACTTTAAGTTTTTCTACCTACATTTTTTAGTCTATACCTTTTTTAATTTTAATTCTTTATTATTCAATGTAAATAGTTTCTTATACCTATTGTTATCTGGTTCTTTTCTTAGCCCTGATTAAGGCTTGAACTTCGGGCCGAATGTCGGCGAATACAATATCTTATTTTTACTATTTTATTTTGACCAATCACCCCAACCATCCTTCTCTTCAAACAGATTAAAATTCTTTGTACAAAAATAATTTCTAAAATTATAAACTTATTAATAAAATACAGCATAAAAATTAAATAGTGTTCACCGTCTCTTTAACAATATAATTTCCACCAAATAAAAAAAAACTTCAAAGTTTTACAATGCTGGTAGTCTCTACACAACTATGAATACAAGAGTAGTAAGAAAGAGGCTGAGATACTAAAAACTATATGTATAAATAGCATTAACAAAGATAGCACACGACTAAAGACATTGTAATAGAAATCAATAGTTAAAGAGACTGAAGTGGAACAACCTGGATAGGTCAGCCAAAGCTTACCAAGAAGAGAGTATAGATTTAAAATATTATTTATTTATTCCTCTAATTCTCAGAACGTATACCCAGTGATTAACTTTAAGTCTATGACGCTTCCCTGACTCTCCCCCTAACCATTATTTTCATTCCAAAAGTACAATGCTGTTCCTGGCAACTGTAATATATGGTGTGAAAACGCTTTTCAATAAGTCCTTTGCCCTTCCATCGTACTTCTTAAATTGCAGCAATGTCTATGTGATGTCTTTCTAGTTCAGATAGGAATAGCCGAAGCGACCCCCTTCAAAAAAGGGTTTGTTTTTAGAATAAAAATAACAAAACAATTAGTAAGACAGACATCTTAAGACACTATTTAATAATATTTTTCATATTATTTGTTATTCAAAATACAATGTACATAAAGAAAAAAGTGACAATTCTAAAGAAAGAATGACGCTATTTACATGAAAAATGATGATTTAATAATAAATTTTTATACATAAATTATTCGTTTAATTGAAAAATCACTTACAACACTTATAGGAAAACGTGGAAGAGATACAGCAGAAGGAGATGAAGGAGTGGGAGGCTTGAGTTCACTGTTGGCAATGGCTTGTTGTAACTGCTCAAACTTTGGACCTCTTAAATATCTTTCCAAACTCAGTCGTACTGTCATACCAGTAGATCTTAAAACTTCAACAGCATCATGGTTAGTATAACCTTGCAGAGATTGTCCATCAACCTATAAGTTGGATATAAAGCAAATACTTTAGTCAAAACCATTAAATTGGCATAATAATTAAGGATGAATTGTGTGCAATAAAATGATTATTAGTCATATTTTTGTTCAAAGTCTTATTACAATATTATAAATAATAATCATGTAAGATGGAACCAATAAACATGCTATAATAGATAACTAAATAATAGATATTTTAAGGGTTAAAAGAACTACGTTTGGTTATGGCCTTGAAAAATGGCAAAAAAGAATTAGCAGAGCAAGGTCAACTATATAATGGAATGCTGGAAAAGACAGCACTGGGAGCAAAATAAATTAAAGAAAATGTTAAAGGATATAGAAACAAACTACTTCACTTAATTGAGACAACTGATTTACAGGTGCACACCTCTAATAGACTAAAAAATATTAAATTTTAATAATTTACCCAAAAATCTGTAATTAATAAAATCTTGATCCTCTTGTTAATCAAGAGGTTACAACCTTTATGAAAGAAACAAATAAGATACACAATAATTTTAATTTTAGTCATCCTAAAAGCTTTGAAGGATCAAGAAATTAAACAGCAGATGTAAAGTGTAAACCAAGTCTGTAAAAGATGTTCCTTCATAAAGAGATTAGTTAATAAGTGTACTTTATTTTTAGAATGGAAAAAAATATAACAAAAGAAATTTTTATTCATGTAATTTTATTAAACATTTTTAGCTTCTTAAAATCTAAAAGGTATGATTTTAACTTAATTAATAAAATTAAAGATTCCTAATTATATTGCTCAGCAAGTGGTGTTTAAAAAAAAAAAATCAAGGAATTAAAATTCATGGGGTGCTTTGTTTTATGGAACAATACAGTTGTGCTCTTCATCCTAATTCAGAAGATTTGACTGTACATAAATAAATAAAAAATGACAAGTTAAATATATATAAATTTTTTTGGAGGGAATGGGATGGCCAAGTGGGTTAACCTAAATGCAAAACACATTTTGCACAGCAACCTGACGAACTGAAGATTACAAGTTCAAGTCCCAGTGCTGGGGACCTGAATTCCACCCCTGCCCTCTCCCTTGACCCAGGAAAAACCTCATACAGCCAAAAAGGCAGATACAGGTGAAAAAATAAAAAAGTTACAAATTTTTGATATGCTTGGATGTTAGGTAAGATGGTGAATACAACCAATTCCAAATCAACTTAACATTTAATATGATTGTAACCTAAATGGAAATAAATTGATTTAGAAAATATGTAGTATTTTTGCATGCTAGAATTTCGGGATGATGGTACCTAAGGTAACTTGTTGTTGATGAGGTTTTGGATATTATTACTGGGAAATTATTGGAATTTAGGATATTATTATTTAATTGATTTTGTAGAATTGCATTCCAAATAATATAAGTAATTAATAAATCAAGTTTTTAGAAATATTTATTTTCTTCCAATTATTGGATATGAAAATATTAATATTATATTTTTATATATTTAATTTTTTGTATTTTTATTTTTTTATGTAGATGAAAATTAAGAAGTCATAAATATATTATTAATGAAAATGAGGTCTACAGGGAATAAAGATGTAGAATTACTATTAAGGATGATATTGGAATGAGGGGATTCACTCCAACAAATGATAATAAACTTGCCATTGAAGGTAAGATAGTAATACACCAAAATCAAAGAGATTATAGGTATGAATGATAGTAGAATTTGGAAGCTGGATCAGTTTATATCTACTAATTTGAAAAGTTTTATATAAATTTTATTCCATTATAAACTTTAATATTAAACAGAAATATTCATAATCTGTCTTATGATCAGTACCAATTTTCTATCATTAATCATAGCCATTAGTTATTAATTACAGAAAACTGAGTTATCACAAATTAATACCATACATTCAAAAATTGAGTAAACGTTTTTCATACCATTAGTGCTTATATTATAATAAGCACTTCAGAATTGATTCTTATGAACTTTTATTTTTTTAGAGCTTTTAAAATTTCTTAAAAAGAAATATTTTTTCCAACAAATTAAAAGAAATTAATTTATATGTTTTTTATTGCCAATGTTTCAACCAAAGCTTGTGAGTCATCATCAAGGCTGAAGAAATTATAACAACAGAAATACAATTATAATATAAGAGGTAATAGTTAATAACAACAGATAGTGAGATATAAGTAATAATAATAAAATAATAACTAATATAGAATGATGAGAATACATGATACTATAAAGGAATATAAGTAATAAGGTATACAAGCTGTAAACTAATATAGAATACCTGATGGTTGACCATGGTATATTATTGAGTAAGAAGATGGTCCAGTGTGGCGGTCATAAAACGACTAAAATAGTAAAAAAACTATTTCAGTCTTTTTATGACTGCCATTCCTGACCATCTCCTTACTCAATAAACTAATATACATATACTATCTTGAGTTAGCAGGGACTGGAGAACAGGTAGGAGTTTAAGGTAAGATTACTATTTATGGAATACAAACCACTGAATAATTACAAATTAAAATTACTTATTAACTAGGATATGTTATTTATTTAGTGATTTATATTCCATAAACAATAATCTTATCCGATCCTCCTAACTCTGTTTTCCAATCCTTACTTTCTTGAGAAACACATCTGGAAAATCCTACTGGGATCCTCTAACCCAGGGATCTCCAAACTACGGCCCCAAATTATCACCCTGCTGGCCGCATCTGGCCTTATCTTTGATTATATAGTAATATTTTAAAAACTATTTAAAAAATATGAAATTTAGCAAATTACTCATATAGGAGGTTACTGCAACATATATTACATATTTTTTCCTCTTAAAAAGCTTATTTCACAACTACATTGCCATTTATAGAAATTTTTCTTTTTTATCACAAGCCGTGGCCCGCGGGACTTAGTGGATGTCTGGATGTGGTCCCCCTGCTCTAATCCATCTACCTATCAGACCAGTATTTGAACACCTTCAGTGCTGCAAATATGGTCAGTAATATTAGCTATTACATTTTACAAGAATCCAATAACCTCATTTCCCTCCCTGTGACTCCAGATGATCTTAATGAACATTTCTTATCTTTTGCTTCTAATGCTTGGACCGCCTTGCCCAAAATCAACTTTCCAACTTCCTAGAAGAATGTTCCCTCATCAATCCATTCCAATCTGGCTTTCGACTTGGCTATTCAACACAATCTGCTCTCCTTAAAATAACCCATGACCTCCAAAACTCCATTCAACAACGAAACCTTACTATCCTCATCCTTCTAGATATTTCCAAAGCATTTGATACAGTTGAGGATAACATCCTTCTTACTAAATTGCAAAATCTTCCTCTATCTAACAGTGTCCTGTGTTGGTTCAAATCCTTCCTTTCTGGCCACCTCCTTAATATTTCCCTACTTTGACTATTGCTGCACGGTATATGGAGGTGTCTCTGAGGATCTTGAGGAGAAACTAAAACGTTTGATAAATTGCTTTGTACAATTCATCTTCGGGATCCCAAGGGACGCCTCTGTTTCCTTTTTTTATGAAGAGTTTAGTGGCTTTATCCTTCCTATCGCCGTAAGTATTTCCTGGCATCCTTCCTCTTGCAAGTCATTCGCTCCTGCCGTCCTTCATACATCTCCAAGCTCCTTCAATTTAAATCCTCCGTTCACTCCTACAATACCTGTTCCCGGTCTTCAGATTTATATATATAATGGCCCACCAAACCGCTGCTCTCAATAAATCTTTTATTATTCGTTCTTCATTCCTATGGAATTTTCCCCTCCCGACAACCCTTCACTCCAATACTGTCCCTACTTTTAAATCCCACCTATTCAATTACTTCCTTTCCATCCATCCCTATAAAATTGTAAATAGAAATTTCTGTGAATATGTATATATATTATCAGTTTATTTTCATTTCATTGTTCTTTCATTTATTTATTTTCTTTTTTCTTCTTAATTGATTTAAGTTAGAAGATAACTTTCTTTTTTCTATTGTATCTATTTTACATTGTTATGTGTTTACTTTGTAAATACATTTATATATATCCGAGGCTCAAAAGCCCATATTTCTGTCCTTCTTAATTATTCTAAAGAGATTCGTCCCACAATAAATAAAAGATTATTTATTATTACATTTGTTCAATATATTATATATATACTATTATAGTATGACCATAAAAAAGGATAAATAAAAAGATAATAAAATAATTTTTATTAAGTATAATTTTCTATTGAAAAATAAAGTATTTTGTAGAATATTCGGACTAGTGCCTCGCGCGGGCTCATTACCGTGCATGGGGAGCGTCCCACGGGTGGCGGATGTGGGGATGGTCGGTGGAAATTCCTTGGAAGTTCCTCCCGGCTAAGTCCGATGGACTCGCTGACCAACAATGAGAGGGGACCTCCAGACTTGCTGGAGGGTGTGACGTAGGATTGAACGCCCTACTCACATATCTTTAGTTCACCAAACACCACAAATAGTCATGGATCTCCCTAAGGTAAAACGCTCATTATCCGGAAGTAAACTAGTCCCCCGTTCGGGTCTCCGGGTGGGGACTGCTTTAGGGGATTCATGGCACAAGCTGAAATATAGGGATTTAAATATTGGTACGTGGAACGTAAGGAGTTTAAACACAGCAGGGGGGCTAAAATCGGTCGCGAATGAGGTGAATATGTACAATTTGGATGTCGTGGCTCTGCAAGAGGTTCGCTGGCCAGGGGAGGGCTCGATGAGGGAAGGAAAGTACACTATTTGGTACAGAGGAAGCGGGAATCATTGTTTAGGTACCGGGTTTCTAATTAGGAGTAGATTACTATCCGCTTTGAGCGACGTCCAATTCTTTAGTGATAGAATTTCTGTAGCTATATTTCAGGGACGTTGGTTTAAAATCGCATTAATAAACATACATTGTCCGACCGAAGACAGTGACGATGAAGTCAAAAGTGAATTTTACAATAATCTCGAATGGGTTTATGATAAACTACCGCGAAACTACATGAAAATAATTGTAGGTGACG